TACATAAGTAAAGCCGAAAAAAGTTGGTCGGTTTCTTACCATCTCGTTCACTTTGTACGTCAGTGCTAGTACGCTCAACACTGGCCATTTGTCTTAGGAGGGCGACCGTGTAGTCATCGAAACTTCACACTCTAATCTTCTACTGGTTGTGCTATAAAAAAACCTTTTATTCTATTCCAATTATCTATTTTCAAAAGAAGTCTTTCGTATTTGATGGTGTGTTGAACGTCAATTTATAAAAATTATAAAACCTTTTGCGAGATTAATCAGTTTTCTTTCCTAGGCGTGGCCCCTTCAGCCGTCTTAGAAAATATCATCTCCCTCTGATCGACCTTAATATACGAATTTTAATCATTGTAGGAAATATAATACAAATTACCTAATTTGGTATTCCTTTGTGATTTTACGTGCGTGAAAATCTCGTATTTTCAAATCATTAACCAAGTTATAATTTCAAATACCACTAAACAACTGACTGAGCCGGCATTGGATGGAGATGATTCCTAAAGCAAGGTGATCAAAGTACTGGAATATTTATAATGATATTGTATATAAACGGGATGAAGTTACGAAGAACAATGTACACAATATCTATTACAACTACTGGTTTCTATCTCACGATGTTATTCATTTCGTTTTTGTTATTATTGTATTACAATCATGAGAAAATATACAGAATGTAATATTGTCGAATATTTATTAGAATTTCTTTTTTCATTTAACAGAGAAATAAAATTGTATTCTGAAACTATTTACTGTCTGCTTTGTGTCGGAACCCCATGATAAATGTAACTGTATTGTAAATTGTGTAAATGTGTAATTTTCTCGTACAGACATTTGGTATTGTTGTAACCTGTAAGCTTGTTAACTCGAAATACAATTCTCCAAAGCATTTGTTTCAATACTTTTGGTGTCTTTCTATATAATGTTGTTAGTTACTATACTTAGACTTTAAATGAAATTTTATATGATTGATCATAATTGACAGGTAACCACGAAAACAACAAGCAGAAACAGATGTTTTGTCTCTACCATATTTCATTCTTTATTTCCAATGAAAAATGTTATTTACCCGTGCCTCTTGTACCATCGTCGATATTGCAGGTGGTATACACTGCCGGTTCATTTTTTATTGATAGTGGCTTGCCGTTAACTGTATGTCGCATTTAAATCGATTTGAATAATGGCACAATTCAAAATATACATGTGTACTTGACTGAAATCATCAGAGATATGAAAATTACGAAATGTATTGGATGTTTGGACAACATACCTTCCCATTCAGATTTTGAAATTACGTTACATCACTTCGAATCTTTCTCAGCATCCACCTAGGTTTCGAAATAAAAACTCTTATCATCACCAACGAAATCTGGAAGGACGAAACAGCTGTATTTTCCAGTGGTGTTATTCATTATTTGACTCTACTGCCTGATTCTAAATTTGTATGAAAGGTGCTATTCAACTGTGTGTCTTTTGTAATAGCTAGTGTCTTCTGCTTCATTGACAATTCGAGGTCAATCGAAATAGTTTTCGTCGCATTGTGAAATGGGAACAAAGTCAACAACAAATAAACCTTTAGGTACACTACAGGTGCGAAAACCGAAAACATTTTCGAATGAAATTGTCATGGCGATGGAAACCATTCCCGCAGTTTTATCACCACCTTTCATCATTTTCTAAAGCAGATAACAGATATGAAAATACGTTTTACGATGTTGAATCAACTACATCTTAACGTAAAGTTATCTTTCTACAGCGGGCGTTTACCTTGATTTTTTCCAACAACGGGACCAAAAGGGACAACTGTCCACTAAGCTGTATGATAAGCGGGATGATTTCAATTTCCACTTCTGGATAGCAAAATCACTGCATTCCCAATTTATGGTGTTATTACTTCACAGCTTGTTCGATATTTAAGGGCTTGTTCCCAATATCACGATTTTCTAGCAAGATATCGGTTGCTGACAAACAAATACACAACACAGGGTTTCGGGAGATGCAGGTTGATGAAGATTATGGGAAAGTTTTAAATAGTCATAGTGATCTCGACCCGAGTTTTTTTTTATTTCCTTTTGCGATAAGTTTGACGTGTTTCACGGTCGTTAGATTGAATTAGATATATATATATATATATATATATACTTGAACATAACTGCCGAAGGAACACAATTTTTGACTCAAGTCCTATCCGAAATTCGACAATTACCAACTACACACTACAAAGCGAATTTATTGTCAAACATGTAATTTTGTCACAAAATCATTATCATTTATCGACATAACATACTTGATTACTTAGTTTGTCAACTTCGTCTGCTTATAGTGATTCATTCGGTGTTGAAATTAATACATATAAATGTCTTCTAGGTAAACAAAACTGGCTTCCGATAAACTTTCTCTTAGGTATTAATATACAGTGTACTGACATATCTGAAGTTATTGGACTGAAGTAAAACCTTCACAAAACCTAAGTATCTTTACACAGCTATAAAATTGCAACAAAACAAATTTATTGTCAAACATGTATGTTTTCCACAAAATCATTATTATTATCGTCATTACATACGAGATTACCAAGTTTGTCAGCTTCGTTTGCTACCGTAGACGTCGATCTGACAGTCCAAATTACAAATGTAAAATTCGTTACAAACAAAATGTCGTCACTTACTGATAGGATCGACTCCAATTTATAATTTCCGTGGGGTTTCTATTCTGAAAATCGCGTTAATCCACTCCACGACTTCAAAACGAAAATGCTTACCGATGAAACACTAGACACATTGTTTTGAAATCTGACAGAGAGCCGCATCACTATTTAATGAATATAGCAACGCTCAATCTTATTTCAAACAAACGGAAAATACATTGTAAAATAATGCAGTTATCATACCATTACTCAAGTTAGATTTGTGACTTCAGGACTATACTATGTCATACAATGGCTATTCATGATGACACGAGGAACTGTATTATTACGACCTTTCTGGAATTTGGACTTGCTGACCTCAGTATTTGGTTAAGTGGGAAATTCAAACGGCGTATTCTTGAGTTTTTGTTTTATTGTTATTTCTATCATTATTTTCATAGATATTTGAGAAGGAAAATAACGGACGCCATTCTATCTATTTTCCACCCAGATTGGCTTCACATCACCTGTATACCTCATCTGGTAATAGTCTATTGTATAAATCTAACACCAATATTATATCCCTTTCTGCTATTTTTGTCGCTGTCGCAAATATGATCTGATGTCTGTTAAAATTAATCGTAATAAGAACAACTATTTCTGACTCTATAAATTCCAGTTTTTATAATATCGATAAATTTCCAACTTGAAGATGAAATGAAAAAGGTTTTTATTTTCTTAACTATAATACAATTAAAATGTATAGCATATCATACGCGACGTTTTAATTTGTTCATGTTCATGATAATGCAGTTTCTAAGGCGGTTAGGTTATTAAACAAAACTGTTGGTGAAGCGAATGTTAATTATAAACAATTTCGTTGATGCTGTAAATGGTGGTTATGAAAAAAAACATTTAAAAGTTTAAGATAACACCAACAGTCCAATATGACAGAACAACATGTAAGTAAAACACACTCTCTGCGGCCAAACAGTTCATATTCACACGGTACCAAGTTGTCTGTAGTAACGGTACTAGTGCCTTCACTGATGAAAACATATCGATATAGGCAAAATGTTTTATTTCTTTCGATAAAACGAACGATAGGCTTGACTGACGATGTGAGCCGAGACTTGTAATTAGTGGATTGGTGTAAGTAATTCTTCTTCCAATTTTACAACAATGTTTTCAGTCATGACAACGCGCAAATATATAAGGACCAATTCAAAAGCAAAATATAAATAAATAAAATGTGTAAGTATGATCAGATGGTTCATCGACATATTACTTAACTTTTTGAGACTTGAACGGACAACTCTCTCTCTACCAAAATTCTGACTTTGTAGTTTATTTCACACGTGTTCACTTCCTAAAATCGCTGGATTGAGTAAAGCGTAAATATAACAAAAACAAATATGGGTTTTTGTACTGGTGTATTTTTTTCAAAAGTATATCTGGATTTGTAAAGAAATCAGCGGTTGGTGCGCATTCGTTGATTTGACTGAATTTTGATCGGTTATAGGCTTGTGTTGTATGAATTGAAGCTTCTTCATAATTTCTAGAGATCAATTAGATGATAAAAAGTATATTTACATACTCTAGATTGACAAGTTCTGATAACACAGATTAATCAGACACCCGCATACAGTGCATCGTTTTTCCGCTACTCAAAAGGAAAAAAAATCATAATTGAAATTGTGAAAAATTGTAAAAAGTAATTTCTATATGTATGCAGCACTTAATATATTACCTACAGAAGTAAGTATCAACAGAATATATCATATAAGTAGCTTAAAAGCTCTCATATCGAACACACGACGGAAGCATCCTGGTGTATCTCTATCGGACTGTTTCGACAGCATTGTGTTTGTGTGGTGACAGATGAGAGCTACCCATATCGAGGTGATCGTCGTTGAGACAAAACTGTGCATGTCAGATAAATCACAATATCTCGGAAACGGAACTAATTACGACATTCGCACTATCATTTTTTATTGGACGATATAAAGTATTTTACATCTAAATATAGCAAAAAACTCAGGGTACACTTTAATGTAACCGAATGATATATTCATTGTTTTGTTGTCAGTTTCAGAAATATATCAAATCACGAAAATATCTAAATAAACAATGACAACATTTTCACGTAAAGAATTATACACAACACTGATACTTTATTTAAAACAAAATGTTTCAAAGGACAGCCCCCTTTTTTATACATACTTTGTACATTTTACGTCAACAACATCTCTCTGGTCCTGATTTTAGGCACTCGGTGTTTCTTTCCTTTTGTCTTAAGTCCCGCAAATCCATCACGAAAGTTAGAAACTTACCACAACAAAACGTCCCGAGTAAAAAGGAACAAAAACTGTCACATATGAACTCCGCCTGTGTGTACTGCTCTCTTTGAATCTGTAACAGAAAGCTCTGAAGTCGAGTTTTGTCCTTTACAGACGGAGGTGGTGGATGTGGCAGCTGAACTGCAGACTGTTATAGGCAAAGGTTTCTTTTTGACTTCCTTGCCACATATGAGATAAAGTTGTCGACGATATGCACTGTTCATGGTGACATAGATAACAAAATTGATAGATGAGTTAGTGGCTTCCATGGTAAGCCCGATTAAACTCAATAAACTGTAAATATTAGAACTGTATCTGTAGTAAGAGCTGTTGGGGTCAAAGAGAACCATTAAGCGTGAAATAGTTGATGGCATCAAGCAGACGACGAAGACACAAGTTACAGTAAGCAGTGTCTTTGTAATCTGTCTTTCATCTCCAGATGATTGGTTCCCCACGGCGTAGTTCTGTTTCTGCCTTCTCCACTTCGCATGTATACAAGTAACAAATATAATGATAATATTGGACAAGATGATCATACCCATAGGTACAAATCGCAATAGAGTTTCAGAAACAATATAATACACTTCCCACAGTTTCTTCTGTCGACCAATGAAACCAAGGGCAATTTTTTTCGTCACATTACCGTCAGGAAGAGTTACTTCTTTAACTTCATACAACCAAAGCTTAGGGCCGGTGAGAACGGCAACAGACAAGGGGAGGACAATGGACAAAGCAAGCATCATCTTCTTTGTACATATTTGTTTTACTTTTAAAGGTTTCGTAACAGCAACCAGACGTTCCATGGAAATGAGAGCAACAAGCCAGTTAGAAATCCTGCCCGGAAGTGGACTGAGATATACTGAGAATGGAATTATAATTTTCAGTGTTACTTTGTACGCGTTCTCTGGATCAAACATTCTTACAGTTAAGCTGGTAACGTTGACGATTGTCGATGCTATGTACGCAAGATCGGCGATGGCGATGGCGATGAGTACGATTGTAGTGGATCGAATTGGTTTGCTGCGGACCAGAATAATTAGAGCCAAGATATTACCCACGATTCCAAAAGCGCACACCGGTGGGGTTACTCCACATACTAGTACTTTCCTCAAAATGTCCATCAATGACTTGTCTATGACGTAATAATTACCTCTGCTGCTTTCTCTTCCAGTAACAGCGGTGGACATGTTGTTATGATCATTAAAAATATCTGTCGAATTTTTTGTACAGTTCTCGCTTTCTTCAAAATCCATGGGGATTTCTGTTGTGAACATTTTTTTCAGTATAACCCTAACCTTCAAAAAGCATATAACCTATTGGGCGATTTTTTTTTTCTCAGCGTTTCCAATATATATACGCTTTTATGTCACGTGATATTGTATCATGAAATTAGGGTAACCTCATTACATATAACGAATCACATATATCGATTATTGATCAGCATTTAGAACTGTCTTATACAGAGAATGTCGCACATCCGCGTTGATAAGCACTCTTCTGTCAATATTTCAGATAAAACCAATCAGATATCAAGGTTAGTAATTCTTATTCAAGATGATTTCTTTTGTGACGTTTGAAGTGTTTTTGTCCCAAAATGCGTGGTTCATAAGTAAAAAAGGTACACTAACAGAATTTCCTTAGTCGTCTCCTAGGCTTCAAAATGGTAGCATCACTGACGAGTCCTAGAAGGACTAAAATGCTGAATGATACGTTTAATTTCATTATTTGGCTCTGCTTTATCTCACTTAAATTACGAAAAGGTGTTATTCACTTGTTTGTCTCTTTCTACAATCATTAACATGTTGTAGTGTAATACATAATGCAGGAATTCACATGTAGATGAAAATATTTCATCTATGAAAAATCTCTTTATTGATAATTAAATGTTATCAATGCAATGAACATTTTTATGTAGATATGTAAGAATCAGTGTTTGCAGATAAGTCTTAAAAGGACAAAACAGTTGTATGATAAAGGTTAATTCAGAATTAGTAGTGAAGTATTTAATGTAAGATTTGTATAGAAAGGTATTTGTCATTTGTGTGTCTTTTGTGCAATATTTTTGTAGGGTCATGATTGTAATTATTCTACGTGTACTTGATTAGTTGTGATATATAAATCTAGTCCTGATCTGGCTTTCTGCTGTTCAATATTCTCGTTTTTGGAGATATATTAAAGGGGTATACATAATAATATTTTATTTTTCCTGTATCTCATCTCATGAAAATAACCAAACTTTACAAGTTACGATCAATTTGTTTAATTTGTTAAGAATAAACACCGGGACGCGATATATTCTGTAAAATTGTTTATAACCTCACTCTCACTGTCGCGTTCAGCCATTTTCTGCCGCAGGTGGCGCTGCAACTGTTGTGACTGCGCATGTCCCTCGTGCCAAATCCCGCGTGATTGACAGTTCATCGGCAGATTTTAAAATCGCGTACATAAATATGTTAGAGTTTGATTAGTTTAAACCATATTTTATTTCATTCATTTTTATGTATACATAATATGCATAATTAATATAAGACAACAGTTGTATGATAAAGGTTAATTCTAAAAACTTTACAACATACTTAGTAAGAAATATGTTTGAAATAGACAAGTGATAAACTTTGTAAATATATGAAGGAAAGAAATATTCTGACGGAGAGTGAAAGAAAGAGAGAGAGGAGGGGCGCTGCAACTGTTGTGACTGCGCATGTCCCTCGTGCCAAATCCCGCGTGATTGGGGGATAATCGAATAAATATGTGTTTTAATACCATTATGATACTAAACTGTAGTTGCAAGTATAAACATTATGTACATAATTACATATTGTACATCAATTAAACATCAATTAAACATACGCAAATGTGTTAGTTCACACAACTCTCTGGGATCAATGAGGTAGCACTATTAATTTGCGAAACGTTTGGTTTTAGAAATAAAATATTGTATACAACGGAAAACGTTTTCATTTTCATTGATAGTTAGATTTGGATCTCCGTACAAAAGCATGTCGAGTGTGTAATTTTCGGGCAAATTTAAAAAACATCCATTTCTTATGTCTGTATAATTAGAACAAAATAGAAGAAAATGTTCAGTAGTTTCGTGTGACTGTCTACAGGAGCAATAAGGACTATCGACAAGATTACGACTAAACAGGTGGGCATTTAAAGAACTGCAGGACATCCTTATCCTAGCGTGATGAACCTGGTCAAGACGATTCCCAAAATTATAATAAGGAGGGACAGTACGGGAGTGTCTGTGTAGGTAGTTTTTCAGATTACTTATAGAGGGGTTATTTTTTACTAGTGGTGGTAGCGAGTTCCAAAGGTCGATAGAAGAAGGAAGAAAAGATTTCTTAAATAAATTAGTTTTACAAAATACATTACTCAGATTATCAGCATCACGTGTATTATATTGATGAGCGTCGGTTCTGCGCTGAGGAAGTAGTTGTGAGAGATATGGGGGAGAGAGACCAAAAATCATTTTGTGTATTTGAACTGTTTTCTTAACATTGCGTCTATATTGTAGACTATCCCACCCAGTTTCCTCATAAAGCTTAGCATGACTAGTTAGTTTAGTCCCACCCGTCATAATTCTAGCAGCTTCAAGCTGAATATTCTCCAAAGACTGACATTGTTGAATAGTTAAGTTATCCCAGACCATATCGCCATATTCTAGAATAGGTCTGATAAATGAAAAATACAAAGTTTGTAGAGAGTTTCTGTCTATTTTGAACTTAAATTTCCGTAAAACAGCGAGTTTATTAGAGGCTTTCTTTATCATAAAGTTAATATGTTCAGACCAAGTACCATCATGAGAGAAGAAGAGTCCTATATGTTTGTGATGTTTGACCTCATTAACAGGAACGTCATTCATAAGTAAAGGTGGGTGATGGGGCTTATTGAGTTTTCTACTAATCAGAAGAGATTCAGTTTTATCAGGGTTAAAAGTAACCAACCATTTTTCAGACCAGGCATATATTTTCCTTAAACTGTCATTCAGTAAGTCTGCACATTGAAGCGGAGTATCTACTATAGCATAAAGTGAAGTGTCGTCGGCAAATAGTTTTATTATTGCGTTAATGTCGTCAACTATGTCATTTATAAAAATTAGAAACAGTAGAGGGCCTAGTATTGACCCCTGGGGAACACCAGCCCTTATTACTTTCCACTCAGAGGTTTTACAATTTATAACTACTCTTTGCTTTCGGTTATCTAAATAACTTCTAAACCACAAATGCAAACTCCCCCCAATGCCTATTTTATGTAATTTAAAAAGTAGCCCTGCATGCCATACTCTGTCGAAGGCTTTGCTGATATCACAAAAGACCATTCTAATTTCTTTACCTTTATCTAAAGCCGAATATATATCATTAGTAATGGCGAGTAATTGATTAATTGTAGAGTCACCAGCCCTGAATCCGGATTGGGAAGATGATAATAGAGAGTTCTCAATAATAAACTTATACAGATATTTATATACACATCTTTCCATTACCTTTCCGACAATAGATATTAATGATATAGGACGATAATTGTTGAGAAGAGAAGGGTTATCTTTTTTAAACACTGGCGTAACATTAGCTAATTTCCAATTATTAGGAAAATATGAAGTAGTTAAAGAGTTATTGAAGATTACTTGGAGGGGGTAACTCAAGATTATTGCTGCCTCCTTAAGGAGTCTAGGATTAATTAGGTCAGGTCCGACTGCCTTAGAGCAATCTAGATTTAATAGAACAGAAATAATGTCATTCCTATCTATATATATATGACTAAGAAGAGGTTCGTTGTTAGTAGTAGGTGGAAGTTCAGCATTAGTATCATCGACGGTAGAGTTGAGACAGAAGAATTCATTAAATGCATTTGCTTTATCAATGTCATCAGAAAAAATAGAAGTTTGTGTATGAATGGGTGGTATATTACAGGTTTTGTTGGTGTTAAGCATAAGTTTACCTACCGTTTTCCACCAAGACTTCCCACGTGTATTGTTACCCAGCATTCCACATAGTTTACGGACATATTTAGTTTTTGCATTACGTATTGTATTTACACATTTGTTCCTAATTTTTTTATACTTACACCAATCCTCTATGGTTCCTGATCTCTTAGCTAATCTAAATAATCTTTTACGTCCGAGCTAACTTACGAATTTCACTGGTCATCCACGGAGGTTCTCTGCTACGTATAGTAACTACTTTGTTTGGAACACATTCCTTAGCGGTGTTAATGAGTATATCAGCAAAGCCATCGACAGAGGCATCTAAATCATCATATGTTAAAACAGTATCCCAATCAACAATAGAAAGTTTCTCTCTAAAAATGTCATAATTGCCTTGGTCATATAACCAAATATTACGTTTCATTGACGACTTCTTAGGTACAGTTATATTTAGGCTACAGAAAATAGGACAGTGATACCTCAGGGGCTGGTCTAGAAAACTTTCCCCAACAGAACATTTCTCAATCAAATATGGATTACTCACACAAATAACATCAAGCAATGATGAAGAATTTTCAGTATAAAAGGTAGGAGACGATATCATTTGGGTTAAATTGAAAGTGTGTAATAATTCGTGTAAATATGGAACGGATTGGTTATTAGTTAAATAATCAGCATTCAAGTCACCGGTTAAAACAATATTATCACACCCAGTATTAAAAGCAAGTTCTAACGATTGTGAAATATGATCCCATGTAGAGACTGGAGAATTAGGTGGTCTGTAGAAAGTGCCATAAAGTACAGTAGTACCTGCTAAATTCAATTCTACCCAAACACATTCAACAGTAGGAAGCTCTAAGTCGGGGCGACGCTTAGCAGGTATGTCATTTTTTACGTACACAGACACTCCCCCTCCTACACGATCAGATCTAATATAACAAAACGGTTCACAATAACCAGGAAAAGTAAAATCTGTTAAGTTATCATTAGTGGAGAGCCAAGTTTCAGTAAATGAAAGTACGCAGACGTTGTGCAGTTCGGTAAATAATACATCCATCTTATTCCGGAGACTTTGGACGTTCAAGTGAACAAAAGAATACTTAGTACTGTCGTAATAGTCGCTTGCATTACTAGAGAGGTAGGAAGATTCGGAGGAGATTTCAGAGGCAGAGTCGGAGTTGTCCGAAGGACCTGGATTTATCTCAATATTGCCTGATATAATAAGTAACAACTGAATTACACACAGGAGAAAAAAAT